AGAGGATCACTACCTCCTTTCTATCCCTACCACTAAAACCAACCGGTCAATACATCCTACAATAATTCCTCTCTTCCCTACTGATAATGCCTGGTGTCCGGTGAAAGTTCTCGACCAACTACGGTCAACTATTCACACTCACCTGCCAGACTCTCCGCTCTTAACATTACAAGGGTACCCGCTTACCACGGCAAAATTGATGTCTCATGTCAGAACTCTGTTATCTAAGCTCGGACACAACCCGGCTGCATTCTCCGGGCACTCCTTCCGCATAGGAGCCGCCTCAGCAGCCTCAAGCACAAACGCACCGGTCCACATCATCAAAAGGCTCGGGCGATGGAAATCCTCCATATATAACGCATATATTCCACAACCAGAGAAAGAGCTTCGCCAAGCTTTCAGAAACTTGGTCTTGTAAAATGCAATAAAGTGTGTATTTTCTCAAATTTATCTTTTTGCCCTCTTTTTATTTACAGGCCCACTCGTACGTTGGTTTCGGCACACCACAACCAACTTTGCTCACAGTTACTATCCATCACGTATTTAAATTCCGAGCACAAGTAGAAAGGCCATTAGGCCTGAATTTGTGGGAGGAGTAAGTCCCCTACTTAAGCTCCTAGCCCCTACTCACCGCTGCCGCTCAGCTGATTGTCCCCACCCACCTACACCCTGTTTTAACTACATTACCCTTGGTGGGCCCTCTTTTATTTTTTACAGGTTTACTCTCGTATGTTTCTCGCAGCTACTACAAATTCAACTTTTGCTCTCACAGTTAGCTACCCAATACGATGAAATTCCGAAAGTACAAATATATATATGCTATTACATGTTAATATTATTTCAATATATGTTATATATATATATATATATATATATATATATATATACACATACACACACACACACATATCCTAAGAGTAGAGATGTCACATCCGTCCTGGGCTAACACATGTGTTCAAGGCGCATGCACATATCCTATTCGTCCCTATAATGTCATTGAGTAAACTTTGACCCGGAACCTCACAGTCAGCAGACACTTCCTAGGAGGGAGGGTCTGCTGCTGATTGGGTGGAATGTGTCTGTGGGCTGTGAGGTTCAGGGTCAAAGTTTACTCAATGATGACGTATAGGGGGCGGACCGTAAATCGGATATGTTCGCCCAACGCGAACACGCTATAGTTCGCCAGCGGACAGTTCGCGAACAGTTCGGCGGACAGTTCGCGACATCCGTACCCAAGAGCACTTGGGACCCTCTACCAAATCAATCAACAATCAAAACCTTCTTAAGATGAATAAATGAAGAAACATCAACTTCACCTTAGCAATTACAACCAATGTACATCCAACATCACTAAAGAGGAGCGCAGTATCATTACATCATTAGCCAATGACCCCAACCTGATCATCCAACCAGCAAATAAAGGAGGTGGCATCGTGCTTCTAAACTACAAGGACTACAGACAGGAAATTCTGATGCAACTACAAGATACCACTACTCCAAACTAACATCTGACCCTACAGACAGCATAATGGGAACTATACAAAGTACCCTCCAGAGAGGACTTGATGCAGCATACATCACACAGGAACTTTACCAATATCTATTACAAAGCAATCCTAGAACTCCAGTAATCTACACCCTGCCAAGAGTACATAAAAACCCTACATATCACCTCCAGGAAGACCCATCGTCTCGGCAATCGGAGGCGCTCTAATGCACCCAAGGGGCTAGACTTTCTTTTTAAGGAACCAATTGAGAAACTTCCTACGTATGTCAAAGACACACCAAGTCTTTTAAATCTACTACAGGATATTAGAACATTGGATTCCAAGGCAATATTTATCACATGTGATGTTAAAAATGTATACACAATCATTCCACGACACAAGTACTAATGCTATGCGCAAAATTCTAACAACTTCTTCTCACTATGCGGGACCACCAGTGGAATTTACACTCGAGTTGCTAAATCTGGTACTCAGCCAAAACTATTTCAGGTTTGAGATAACCTGGTATAAACAGACTTCAGGATGGGGGCAGCTATGGCCCCAATGTATGCGAATGGATACATGTATATTTATGAACAGGAATTTATCCTAACACTATTCCAAGATAACATAGCATTTTACCGTGGCTATATCGATGATATAATGATGATCTGGAAAGGTACAATGCAATCCTCAGAACAAATGCTGGAGACAATCAATAATTTAGATTCACCAGTTCGTCTCACAATTAGGTCGGATACCAAGACAGTTGACTTTCTAGATGTACGTCTGTACAAAGAAGACGGGAAAATAGCCTTTACCCTCTACAACAAGCCAAAAGATAGAGACAGAAACACCCTTCTTTATACTGAGTTACCACCCGAGACACCTGAAGAACTCACTTCCTCAATCACAAATTTTAAGAGTAATAAGGAATAACTCTAATCCTGCAAATACACCAGATACAGGAAATGTGGGACAAGTTCCGCGCACGAGGCTACAGCAATAGGGTCCTACAGCAAGCACTAGATAAATGCTATGAGACGAACCCACAACGTAAGGACAAACCAGACTGACTGGAATTCCCAACAACGTTTACCATCATATCATACAACCTTAAAAAAAAATCAGTTGATCGAAAATGGAGAATGATGATGAACAATGCAAGTCTACCTAAATCATTTAAACATCCTCCCATGATGTGCTATTGCAGAGGCAGCAACATGAGGGATTTACAAGTAAAGACAGACCCTATACACTGCTACAATCAAAAACCGACACATCAGAATCTCGGATGCTACAGGTGCCTAGGGCGTGTAACATGTAGGCATATGATACCCAGCAAAACATTCACTCATCCACATTCCAGCAAGAAATACATCATACGACACAGACTAACTTGCAGCAGTGACTATGTGGTGTATAAACTCCTATGCCCTTGTGGTTTGGCATACATTGGAAAGACAGACTTGCCGTTGAGGGAAAGAATGCGTAACCATCGTTTCAGCATACGAATTGCATATAGAGACAAAGGCTCAGAACTACCCGTGGCCAAGCATAACCATCAATTACCCTCCATGAAATTCATAGCAATCGATCACATCCCCCAGCCGGCACGAGGCGGGGACCGTAAGAACCTTTTATTACAAAGATAACTGTTCTGGATAAGAATTTTGGATACAGTACATCCCAAAGGACTCAATGAAAAATATTCACTTGGTATTTTTCTATGATCTGGATCAATAAAGGCGGGAATTAACTCCATATTCCTTGCAATAGATTACAGACCTATATATATTTAAAGGATCACAAACTAGTTTTCCTGACACTATATAATCCTTAGGTCCTCCCTCCCTCAGGGACCCCCTCCCGCTGGGCTGAAGGGGTAAACACCCCTTCAGCCACTTACATTTATTGAGCGCCGGCGCTGGTGACCTCTCCTGCCCCTCCGACGACTGCTCGCGAGTGGAGCCGAATGTGCATGCGTGGCCAGAGCTGCGCACGCATAAAAAAAAACACCCATAGGAAAGCATTTCTCAGTGCCTTTCATAGGTACGGTCTACGTGCTCAATACGATTTTCGCATTGAGCGTCGGGGAAGTGCCTCTAGTGGCCTGTTCAGCTCACAGTGTAAGTCTCGCGAGACCCGCAGCCTTTAGGATCTTATTGGAGTGGATTGGAAATTTAACCTTGTGGTCACTTTTTATTCAAGTGACGACTTTGGTTCTCTACTATACATTGTATTCCCTAGGGTTATCCCCTGCTTTTCCAGTCTAGGTGACCTTTTTTTGTGGGTTAGGTACGGGATGGGTGTCTTACACTAAACCCCTATCCTTGACTGCTCTCCTTTTCTTTAAGTTCTTTTCATCAAATTACAAAGTGCTTGAAGTGCTATTTTTATATAGACTATATATATATATATATATATATATATATATATATATATACACACATACACACACACACACATATATATACACACACATATATATATATATATACACATACACACACACACACATATTTAAATTCTACAAATATATTTATATAATATTTTTACATAATTAAGTCATTTTATTAATTACAATTTAAAGGACCTTCCTTACAAGCCTGACAGCAGAAAGTCCAGAGAATTTGGTTCGCAAGCCCTATATTTAACCCTGTAACTTTCCAGGACACCATGAAACCTGTACATGGGGGGGTACGCTTTTACTCGGGAGACTTCGCTGGACAAAAATATTAGTGTTTCAAAACAGTAAAACATATCACAACGATATCGTCAGTGAGAGAGACTTTTTTTTTTTGCATTTTTCACACACAAATGGCACTTTGACTGACGATTTAATTGACTGACGATATAATTGTGATATGTTTTACTGTTTTGAAACACTAATATTTGTGTTCCGCTGAGTCTCGCGAGTAAAACTGAACCCCCATGTACAGGTTTTATGGTGTTTTCAAAAGTTACTAAGTCAAATATAAGGCTTGCATTTCCTTTTTTCACATTGAAATTTGCCAGATTGGTTACGTTGCCTTTGAGACCGTATGGTAGCCCACGAATGAGAATTACCCCCATGATGGCATACCATTTGTAAAAGTAGACCACCTAAGGTATTGCAAATGGGGTATGCACAGTACTTTTTAGTAGCCACTTAGTCACAAACACTGGCCAAAATTAACATTCAAATTTGATTTTTGCATATTTCACACACAAACAAATATGTAATGAAAAAAAGGAGTGGGGTCGCACACGGCCACAATCTTTCAACCCAGGGTGCTACTGAGCATGGGTCAGCAAACCTCAAGAAATATATATGAATAAGAAAATCTCAGGCACTCACTGTGATTGCTTCCAGGCAGATTTATTGCAACGTTTCGACCTGTTAAGGTCTTTATCAAGCTTGATAAAGACCTTAACAGGTTGAAACGTTGCAATAAATCTGCCTGGGAGCAATCACAGTGAGTGCCTGAGATTTTCTTATACACAAACAAATATGAATGCTAACTTTGGCCAGTGTTTGTGACTAAGTGGCTACTAAAAAAGACTGGACATACCCCACATTGAATACCCTGGGTTGTCTACGAAAAAAATATGAACATGTGAGGTGTGAGTCAGAGATTTATGACAGATAACAGTGTTACAATGCCACTTATTGATACATTTTTGAAACAGAAATGTCCTACTTGTACTTATAGCCCTATAACTTGCAAAAAAAAAAAAGCTAAGAACATGTTAACATTTCTAAACTCAGGACAAAGTTTAGAAACTATTTATGGGTGTTTTTTGGCGGTTGTAGATGCGTAACAGATTTTGGGGGTCAAAGTTAGAAAAGGTGTGGGTTTTTTTACATTTTTTCATCATATTTTATAATAAAATATATGATATGATGAAAATAATGGTATCTTTAGAAAGACCATTTAATGGCAAGATAAAGGGTATATAATATTTGTGGGTACAGTAAATGAGTAAAGGATAAACTACAGCTAAACACAAACACCTCAAAAATAAAAAAAAAAGAGCCCTGGTCCTTAACGGTAATAAAACTGAAAAGCGGTCTGGTGACTAAAAGGGTAAAAAAAAAATCAAAAAATAAATAAAAATAAAAATCGCATTTTACTTAACTTTCAGCCATCGCCATACGCTCTCCTCCATTTAGCTCTGCTTTTTTGGCTGAGATCAATGTTGACGAGGTCAGCCAATCCAATGCTTTCTCATAGGAAATGATTGTGAGGATAGTGAGCACGCACGGCAAAAATGCAGAGCAGTGCCAATCAGATGGTCTCTCTGGACCATCTGACTGAAAGAGAGGTTTACTCTGCTATCTCACAGAAGAGCCTCTGGTGACTGTTATACTGACATCCACAAGACGGAGGTGAATCTGCAATGTAAACATTGCCGTTCCTTCAGAACTGTCACAATATACTTACTAAAATTACACTAAGCTGTCTATATAGAAATATATTTTAACAACATTATCAACACATAACATACCGGGATATAATTTCTAATTAGTTAGGTAACGGCTGCTTGATCCAAGGAGATATCTGACTGCTATTTTGGGGTCAAGAATGAATTTTTTCCTAGTTTGTTGCAAAATTGGAAGCGCTTCAGACTGGGTTTTTTTGCCTTCTTTTGGATCAACAGCAAAAACAGATGTGAGGAAGGCTGAACTTGAAGGACGCACAAGTCTCTTTTCAGCCATGTAACCGATTAAAAAAATAAATAAAACACACTATTGTTCCAATACCTGAACTCAAGTGCTTTGATAGCCTCATGCATCTGTAGATACTCTGCTGCCTTCCAAATGTCACCAGCCTCCTCTTCACCTTGTATCATCAGCTTTGCAGTATAGGTAAATTCAATCAGATTGCGGAATGCTGTGTTACTGACACCTAATATGAAAAGCATTACAGTTTAGTAAACACGGATTAGGATCAGATCCAACCGAATAGTGTGCACTACAAGTACAATACTAGAATGTGTGTGATCTGTATACCAAAACAGATGCGGACAACGAATTAAGGGACTGCCTTAATGTGTGTTCATCCTGATGCCTCAATCAGAGTGGGTTAAGTACATTTGGGTGTTTACCCCCAATAAAATCTTAATTAGATTTTTTTCAGAAAGGAAATCTCTTTCAAGTAAACAGAGCAATAAGTGAACATACCGTATATACTCGAGTATAAGCCGACCCGAATATAAGCCGAGGCCCCTAATTTTACCCCAAAAAACTGGGAAAACTTATTGACTCGAGTATAAGACTAGGGTGGGAAATGCAGCAGCTACTGGTAAATTTCTAAATAAAATTAGATCCTAAAAAAATTATATTAATTGAATATTTATTTACAGTGTGTGTATATGATGAATGCAGTGTGTGTGTATGAGTGCGCAGTGTGTGTATAAATGCAGTGTGTGTGTGAATGAGTGCAGTGTGTGTGTATGAATGCAGTGTGTGTGTATAAATGCAGTGTGTGTGTATGAGTGCAGTGTGTGTATGAGTGCAGTGTGTGTGTATGAGTGTACACTGCAGTGTGTGTGTATGAGTGCAGTGTGTGTGTATGAATGCAGTGTGTGTGTGTGATGCAGTGTGTGTGTGTGATGCAGTGTGTGTGTGTGATGCAGTGTGTGTTTGTGTTGTAGAGCCTTGGTGGGGGGTGGGCATTTTTATAAAAAATAAATAAAAAAAAATTAATATTATTATTTATTATTTTCATTTTTTTGGTTATATTATTTTTTAATTATTTTTTATTATTATTTATATATTATTAATTAATATTATTTTCATTTTTTGTTATATTATTTTTTATTATTATTTATATATTATTAATTAATATTATTTTCATTTTTTGTTATATTATTTTTTTATTATTATTATTATTTATATATTATTAATGTATTTATTTTTCGTCCTCCCTCCCTGCTTGATACATGTCAGGGAGGGGGGCTCTCCTTCCCTGGTGGTCCAGTGGCATTGGCAGTTCAGTGGGGGGAGGAGGGGGACTGGCAGAGCTGTTACTTACCTCTCCTGCAGCTCCTGTCAGCTCCCTCCTCCTCCGCGCCAGTCCGTGCAGCTCCTCTCTCAGCTCACACTGTAAGTCTCGCGAGAGCCGCACTATGACCCCGCGGCTCTCGCGAGACTTACACTGGGAGCTGACCGAGGTGCTGCATGGACCGGCGCGGAGGAGGAGGGAGCTGCAGGAGAGGTAAGCGCTCGCTGCCAGCCCCCAGTCTGTATTACGGCAATGGAAATTGCCATAATACAGACAGTGACTCGAGTATAAGCCGAGTTGGTTTTTTCAGCACAAAAAATGTGCTGAAAAACTCGGCTTATACTCGAGTATATACGGTAATTGCACTTTACCAATACAGTGCAATTAAAACACCCAACGATATTCTACTACAGTATGCAGGAGTCAGGTTGGAGTGAAGGTACCTGTAAATCTACATTAGCTGCTACATGGTTTCAAGCAAAATTGAATGACCTAAACAATCAGGTATCAATTATTACATTAGCAACATTTTAATGTTGGAGGGAAAGAACTAGCAGTGACGGTGGCTAAAAGAGAGAAAAGGGGGTGGGGGAGAGAAGAAGGAGAACAAAAGAGGGGCAAGGGTACACAAAGATTGGTTACCTCATATCCGACAACAAAACCACTAGATAAGCTACTGATCGAAGTAAAAATGACTGGGTACCACATTTCCAGGAATTAAACAAATAGGAGAGCCAGTGGGACCTAGTTATTCTGAATGCTTCCCAATCTGACCACTTCCTATCATATTAATGGATTAGCATCAACTGCCTACAGAACAAAGGATATAGTAGATATGGTATGTGAGTTCCATGAACAGGCTATTACTTTAATGTCAAAAAGATAAAGTTTTTTCTTTCCGTGGTGGGATCCTGTCAAAAACAGTTTGTAATAAATACACCTTTGGGTTATGAGGAGACATGGTAGATGACTCACTAATTCACTTTGGCAAGGAATTCATAAGCTAACCTAGTAGATATCACGTACCACCTTAGGATTTCCTTTCTCAACACCTCTTAATGGCTCATACAATGAGTAAGACCACATAGATTCACTCCTTCTCCTCAGTAATGTTCCTACCAAGATCATTTTCCCACTGGGACATAAATAAAGCTTTACAAGATTGGGTACATTTTAAATGGCTATTATAAGATAGGGACATACATGTGATTATGTGTTAATGAAAGTGTTGAGCAGTGAGACTGCAGGCACATGATCAATACTCAAAAAAAAACATTCCATTAACCTAAAGTTGTTTTGGTACCAATACTTTCCCTTAAATAATTACTTTTTGCGTAAAGAGCAAGTGAGAAACAGAAAGACAGAGAAAATAATAAAAATGTATCAAAAGACATAACAAATACCTTCTATTTCAACCAATGGCTCCTGAGTGAAATCCTGAAAGAATTTGTAGAAGAAATGACTGCAGGCTGCAAGAACGGCTTTGTGAGCTTTAAACTGATGGCCTGTATGGAGACAATACAAGGAGAGAGAGAAACACAAATCTCAAACTGGAGATAGGAAAAAGACCTCAACTTTTTCTATGCTAAGCGGTGTGCAATATACTGTATAGTGAAGTAGGATGGTGGAGAAGGAAAACAAGTTTTAGGGACCATCCACATTTACTATGTGGAGGAAAATAAAACCTTTCCCGACCCCACACACTGACACTTTCTTTTAAGGACTTGTACCTGTAACTGTTATATCTGTAGAAAACTCTAGATCTTTCTGTGTAATTTAAAACAGACCACACACACAACATTTTGAGATACAACCTCACATGTATGTTATTTTAAACCCTTAAGGACACATGACATGTGTGACATGTCATGATTCCCTTTTATTCCAGAAGTTTGGTCCTTAAGAGGTTAATGCAGAAGCAGATATGTGCCTTCCCACACCTTTCTTTCGGAAAAAAATAAAATAAAAAAAATACTGTCTTTCCGACAATAACAATTAGTTTAAATGAGAAGCAACTCAATGAGCTTTGTTAAACAAGTTGTGGCAAATGTTCCCGATATGAACAGCTGGACACATTACTGAAAAGGTTATTGATGCTATTTGATAATGTGACATTGAAAAGATAGTGTAGATTTGGAGTCACAGAAAATCCATACCATCCACAATCAGTGTGATATCTGTAAATTTATCCAGTTCCCGTTGCTCATTCAATCTGTCCATCATAACTTTGTAATGGTCTGGGAATTCCTGAATGCAGCCCATCGTCTCTTCAGCTTCCATACCTGAACAGATTGTCTGGGGGGAAAAAATGGAAATAAATACCAATATTTAGATTTTAAAGTTACAAGTAAGGATGACAAAGTCTCCTCCAACACACTGTATCCATATGCGTTTTTAATTGATCAATAATATACAAAACAAACATATAATGACAATAAAGGCACCCACACCACTTTCACTCAGGGTTAAAACGACATGTTAATGTAGTTTTAACCCTCCAACTGCAAACATTGTCGTTCTGTAGGAACAGCACAGTTTACAGTGACAAGTTTCAATGCCTCCAGTCACACTGACAGCCACTAGAGGTGCTTGCGAAGAAATAGCGGAATAAAACTCGGCTACTTCAATCAGATGGTCTCATAGAGACCATCTGACTGGTGAAGCACAATGTTTTGCCGCGCATGTGCACTAGCCTCCCAATGCCTTTCCTATGGCTGAGAATATCTGGGGGGCAGAAACAGCTGGGGGCCAAATGCCCAAACAAAACAATACATTGTGAGCTGTAAAAATAAAATGGATGCTATTCATTGTTACGTTTTAAGAAACAACCGGACAGTAGTTTTTAAAATGAAAGGCCAGGCAGTGAAAACCTAATGTGTCTATAGGTATTTAAAGGTTAGCAAACTCGCCATGTTTTACATGGAAATGAGGTGTACAAACCAATACATTAATTGATTTCCTTACCACGGGATTGGCACACCTTGGCTTGTGCCCATTAGCAATGAGAAATAATTTGTGTCCACGAATACGGGGTTGATCTGGTAACCTTACTCTGTATCAAAATAGCACGTTACTCTATACAGAAACAAATAATCGTGATATTGACCTACTTAAAGCTATCAGGGTTAATCACTAAACTACAAATAGTAGCAAATATAAGTATGAATATTAAAATATTGGCTAAACTCTGATTATAGTGGAGATGGACATTTTTTTTTTTTAAATCAACCACTTTGCCTGTATTTATACATCCTGGTTTAATTAATATGATTGACTCTAATCTGTTTTTTTCCCCTTCAAGTTAGGTAACTATGCAATTAAATATATCATTCATAATTCAAAGTGAACTGCTCTGAAAAGCTGATTTTATTGTGTGTGTGTCCCCCATCATGTGACTATTTTTTTTTTATAACATGTGACATGTGCCCCTTTAAGGGATATCTTCACATGCCACTTCAGTCACACTAGTAAGCAACCAGCAGCCATATGAGCAGGATTTTGAGTGAGTTATACCATCAGCCAATCAGGACACTGCTCTAGCCTTAGAACCGCCCACACGGCTTTTTATTGGCAGACGGTCAGAGCGTCACACTATAGTCTCAGCCAATCGCGGATGCCGCTCTGGGACCGGAAGGCCTGCTCTTTCAATCCCACTGAAGCCTCGGGGCCCCCAAGGCGAAGGGGGAGTAAAGGGGAGAGCGCGGTACGGCCGGGCCCCTTCACCTCCACCCAACGCCAACTATCGTTTCGCCATTAATAAGGTGCGCGCGAGGCCGCTCCCCGCACTGCCCTGGGTAACAGCGGCGCCAGCGGCCGGTCCTAGTTACGTCATCAAAACGCGCATTAAAAATCGCCCATTGCCTCGCGCTCAGGGGGTTTACCTCAAATATGGCAGCGGCGGAAACCGGGCACCCGCACCCCGCCAGCCGAGCCTCCCCCGGGCTCCCGCTATCCGCTCAACTCACCGACTGCGGCGAGATTGGCTGCCCGCGGCCTCCTCTTCCCGTCTGTCGATGGCTGTGGGGAAAGGGCGGGCGGCTTCCCGGCGGCCCCCGCGCGGGAAATGACGTCAGCGAGGCCAGAGCCGTGGCTGGGGAGAGGAAGGAGCTGGGCTGCCGCGCTCACCATGTGTTGGCGGGCTGGAGTTAGTTACCTCATGCTGGCGGTCAGCGAGGAGGGCTTCATGTCCCAGTGCAGGGCTAGGCAAGGATGTGGACTACATCTCCCACAATGCTCTTACAGCCACAGTGCTGGCAAAGCATCATGGGAGGTGTAGTCCAAAACATCTGGAGCATGTGCCATTCACATAATGTAGGCGGGAAATGTGTGACTTCAGCAAGACAGTTCCTTGTGCTTCCCACCTTACAACATACAGCAAGGAAAAGTCCACACGTACTATACCAGGGATAGGCAACCTTCGGCACCCCGGGTGTTGTGGACTACATCCCCCATAATCCTCTTACACACGACGCTGGCAAAGCATCATGGGAGGTGTAGTCCAAAACATCTGGAGTCCCGAAGGTTGCCTATGCCTGTTACAACAGCAGGGAGAGCTATGTGGCAAATTGCAGCCTAGTGTGGTTATTGACCAAATTCAAAGTGAATTTCAAGTAATGTAAAATAAATTTTAAAAATCTCTTAAGTATCTGAAATTATTTGAAATTCACGTTGAAGTACTAACTATTTCGTTAGCGGTAGACATGTTTTCATAATATTGGGATGAGGGATGACAAAATTAATAATCTGGTTGCATATAATTTTTAGCAATGCTGTTGGGAATAATACACTTTATCTATATACAATGCTTAGTGAATTTACCCTTAGACAGAGCTATAAACGTTTTTGTCTCAGAGCATTGGTCTTCTTTCCTGTTTTCTATTTCTAACTGCGTAGTAACTTTTTTTTTTATTTTATTTCAGCTGTGAAGTTAAATTGAAACTATGAGTACTCCTCCATTATATCTGCAAGTTAGCTATAGGATAAGATATGTTGAGATATGATTGAATTATGGTATTATTGGATAATGTTTATAAGACCACCCCTGTTTCCTCTTGAATATAACCTGTTACAAAGCCTATTAAACTTGAATCTTGCATTGTCTTGTCTCGTTCATTGGGGGTCCTCACCAGCTGGTTTGGGGACAAGGAGAAATACAGAGAGTTCCAAATTTATAAGAAAGACCATGACAAGGGGAAATTCCTGACGGAGAAAATTCCTCACTATCAAATACTTAATGGGTTACAAGCTCTTTCTTATCAATCAATAAGGTGCTTTGTGCAAATAAAAGTGCTTCTAATATAAACAGGGCCGGTGCAAGGATTTCTGCCGAACTGGGCAAAGATCCATTTTGCCGTTCCCTTGTGTCACTCTCTCACTAATAGACACACACAGGCAGACACTCACTGACAGTCAGACACACTCTCACTGACAAACACACACACACAGGCAAACACTCACTGACAGACATACATACACACTCAGACACACATAAACTCACTCACTCACAGACAGACACTCACTGACTCAGACATCCAGCCTTCTTACCTCTCTGGGGTCCAGTGTGGGGCAGCTCCTCACTCCTCCAGTGCGTGTAGTATGCTGGGGCTGGAATGATGTCATATTCCTGCTCCTGGCAATCCAAGGGGCGCACAAACAACTGACCTTCTTGCTATGATATTGTCCTCAGGTCCTCTGTGGGAAAGATGAACGAAAGACTGAAGAGACTAGAATCACGTAGTCTCGCAATGTTGCCAGCAGTGCCCTCTTACTGACCCAATGGGCCCCCCTTTGACACAATCTAGTAATAGCTTATCGTCAGGGTCTGCTCCCCATGTTATTAACCCAGCACATATGGTTCCAGCTAACCACAAGAAAGATATCCTGGATGGCAAAGACGTTAACCTAGTCTCACTTTTGATTGCCTCCCAGGTATAGTTGAGAATCATACCTATGCCTATGGTGAGATATCTGCTGTTCTAAAGGCCAGGGGGCTATTCCAGAATTTGTGTTGGCATTTAAAATATATAGGGACGTCCTATGCTCAGTTTATCCGCACAGGAGAGAGGAGCTGGGTCTTGACATGCACAAACTGGTGGATTTAGGATTTAGCACCTTAGGGGAATCAGTCTGTATGTGTTAGTCTGTGTGTGTATGGTGGGTCAGTCTGTGTGTATATGGGTCAATCTGTGTGTGTATGGGTCAGTCTGTGTGTGTGTGTATACATATGTCAGTCTGTGTGTGTATGGGTCAGTCTGTGTGTATAGGTCAGTCTGTGTGTGTATGGGTCAGTCTGTGTGTCTAGGGGGGTCAGTCTGTGTATGTGTGTATGGGTCAGTCTGTGTGTGGGGGAATCAGTCTGTGTGTATATGGGTCAATCTGTGTGTGTATAGGTCAGTCTGTGTGTGTGGGCGGGTCAGTCTGTGTGTCTAGGGGGGTCAGTCTGTGTATGTGTGGAGGGGTCAGTCTGTGTGTGTAGGGGTGGTCAGTCTGTGTGTGTATAGGTCAGTCTGTGTGTCTAGGGGGGGTCAGTCTGTGTGTGTATGGGTCAGTCTGTGTGTTAGGGAATCAGTCTGTGTGTGGGGGGCAGTCTGTGTGTGTATGGATCAGTCTGTGTGTGTGTGTGGTTCAGTCTCTGTGTGGGAGGGTCAGTTTGTGTATGTGTGGAGGGGTCAGTCTGTGTGTATTGGTCAGTCTGTGTGTTGGGGTAAGTCTGTGTGTGTCTATGGGTCAGTCTTTATATGTAGGGGGGTCAGTCTGTGTGTGTATGGGTCAGTCTTTGTGTGTAGGGGGGGTCAGTCTGTGTGTGTCTGTATTGGTCAGTCTGTGTGTGTGTGGGTCAGTCTGTGTGTGTGGGGAGGGGGGGTATAATGCCCCCATTATGCCAACAACCTTAATTTTATAGTGATAGAACAAGTGAAACTGGATGAAAGAGGAGGGGATCTCATGTTTAAGCTTAGTAAAAAAAATGAAAAATAAATTTGGACCCATAAGTTAAGAACTATGAAACCCAGGGGTCTGAACGTCGATTTCGATCTAGTGTGTTTTCTCTAAATTCTCTCTTTTTTTTTTTTTATAATAATTTTTATTATTACAGCTATATGTGTTTAGGTGAATTTTAGAAATATTTTCTTCTTAGTTTATTTTTCTGATATCCTGGTAATCGCCTTGACCTTATATAGATATAGATCTTTTCTAAAATTACTTCTTCTGTTTAAATTGTTTATATTGATAATGTTTAGTTTATACATATTATTTACATAATTTTTAATGGTATTGAAATATAGTGTAATTCAATCTGATGTAACTATTGTTATTTTTATGTTTTTATTTGAGCACATTTGGACTTTTAACCCCTTAACGACCGAGGACGGTTCAGAACCATCCTCTGCATTTTTGCGTTGTCCGACCGCTGAAGGTCCTGAACTGTCTTATGTATTTACCCGATCGCCATCGTTCCCCTGGCGGCGATTGGTGGTGCTCCTGGTGTGGGGAGACTGCCTGCAGCCCAGACAGTCTCCCCATGGCGGATTAGGACCCCTGGGGCCATGTGATCGCTTAGTTCCCTTGCAAGTGTAAAAAAAAAAAATAATGAATGTAAATGTTAATAAAAAAATAATAATTATATATGTGTATATATATATCTATATAATATATGTCTATATATCATAAATATAATGTCATACTAAGTGTATTTTTATATTAATATAAAAATACACTTATAATTAAATTACACACATATATATAATATATATAATAACTATATATATTGTATATATATATTATAAAATACAAATAATAAGTAATTTAAATTAAATTAAAAAAAATATGAAATTTTATTCTAACTGTATTTTTATATTAATATATATATATATTTATATCAAAATACACTTAGAAGGAAATTGTATATATATATATATATATATATAAATAAATAAAAATAATTCGAAATATACATATGTCCATATACAAAATTACATAAATAATTATATAAATATACACGTAGACTTCAAATATATAAATATGCATATATATTTAAATTCTACGTGCGTATTTATGTAATATTTTTACATAATTAAATAATTTTATTGATTGCAATTTGAGGGACCTGCCTGCCAACCCAGGCCGAAAGTCCAGAGAATTTAATTTGCTAGCACTGTATTTTACCCTGTAACTTTCTGTGACACCCTAAAACCTGTACATGGGGGATACTGTTTTACTCGGGAGACTTCGCTAAACACAAATATTAGTGATTCAAAACAGTAAAACATTTCACAGCGATGATATTGTCAGTGAAAGTGACTTTTTTTGCATTTTTCAGACACAAACAGCACTTTTACTGGTGATATAATTGTTGTGATCCGTTTTCCCGTTTTGAAACACTAATATTTTTTATTTTTTTTTGTAAATCTGTTTTAATTAAAGTTTTTTGACATAGGTAATAGATAACAAAGAAGTGTGTCGTGTGGGACACACAGATCCCCATCATGGAAATAACATGAATGCGTAGCTCATATGGTTAGCATTGTCGTGAGGATGTTAGGTGTAGTAATTGGCATGGGGCTGGGTCACCTCCTTAGGTTTTCAGTCGATCGGCCCATCAGTTACATTCTTTGTGCCCTCCTCTCCCTCTAGACTGTGTCAAAGAATAGAGCATTTTGCTTCCTGTCCATTCTCGTGTGTTCACCCATGACTGGGACTCAAAGTTTACCTTATTGAAATAGGTGGGCTGCGTCATACCCTTTAATGTGTGACCCTATTCTATCTAGCCGGGCTGATCCGTCCGTGTGCTCTAGTGGGGTGGGTCAAGCCATTGTTGTTTTAGGAAATGTTTTAGGTGTATGATTGGCTTTGTGTGTAGTCAGGGGTGTTGTTCCGCTGTGTGTGCCCTTTGTTTCGTCCTCATCTGCTGTTTCATGTTCTGCTGTTATGCGTGCCTTGTGTCAAATGATGTTCTGTTTGTTGTGTTGAGTAGATGTGTGTGTTTTAGCTCTTGCTAGTGATATGGTGTGTGGTGTATGATAGTGTTCCTTTTGTGTGTCTGGTTTAAGGTTGGGGTGGGAGGGGATGGGGAGAAGAAGTGTACTGGGATAGGTAGGATGCAGTGGTCTGCGCTAAGAAGGGCACGGGTCCGTCCTCGAGCTCACCTCAGTTTCGAGGTCGCCTCCCCCTTCGTGAGTGTCGAGCGATGTATACAAACCATGGGCGCCATAGTTCCACATGTTTGAGTTCCCTTCCCGTTAGGGAGGCATGGAGCGACTCCGCGCTCTGTATATCCTCCACCCATTGGATCCACTCCTTCTTCGTCGGGATGTTGTTGTTTTTTCCAGTAGGCCATTATGGACACCTTGGCTGCGTTTAGCAGGTGTGGAAGGATTGATTTTTTATAACTCAAAATCGTCAGTTGAGAGATATGTAATAGGGCGAGTTCTGCCGACC